TATGTTTTTGTAAATTAGGGGAGTTCCTATGGATTGCCCACTCCATGATAGTCTACTACGCGTACATTACAAGGGCATGCTTCTTGATGAAGAAAAGGGAGTATTCTATGATACCAGAATTGATAATAATGGTCAGCCTGTAGAGTTCAGTTCTGGAGAAGGAATGGTCAGTTCTGGAGCAAACTTTTTACTAGTCTAATTCAATAACTTATACACCAAATGCTCATTCCCTGAAAACTTAAATAACATCTATTTTGATTTTGATATGTTTAACCGTTAATTAAGTGGAATTTTTCTTGTCATGCAGGTGCCTGAGGGATTTGAGATGTGTGTTCGTTTAATGCTTCCGGGAGAGATATCTCTTGTTACATGCCCCCCTGATTATGCATACGATAAATTTTCAAGGTAATAATTTGAAATTTAATAATCCTTTAGCTTATTTTCCTTCAAACCGTAGTTGTTGAAATTTTTTCCATGTAACTTTAGGCCATCTAATGTTCCTGAAGGTGCTCATATACAATGGGAAATTGAGCTTCTTGGTTTTGAAATGCCCAAGGTAACTAGTAGATACCTTTTTGCAAGAATACTATTATTTTGACGTCCTTGTACACAACAAATCTATCGGAAAGTTTGTCTGTAGGTCTCCTTTATATCGATTTATTGACAGTATTTCTATTATATGAATATGATTGCATCAGTAATGGTAATGAATGATGTAAGTCCTAATTCCAGGATTGGACTGGTTTGAACTTCGAGAATATAATGCATGAAGCAGAGCAGATCCGAGGGACGGTATGCTTTTGAGAATATATTTTCAACTGTGCTCTTCTGAAAATTTTCTTAAGTATAAAATTTTTTCCTATTTGTTCTTATTCCATAGAAAGTTTATGTTAGCATGTGCGTTGTTTCTGTGAGAATCAATTTGGTTCTTTTGAATTGGCTGGTTTATCTTCACCTTCTGGATCTGTGTAGCATTATGTCTTAACAGGTTGGGCACATTTAAATTTTATGGTGCTACTGTCTTTCTTCAGGGTAACAGACTTTTCAAAGAAGGAAAATTTGAACTTGCAAAGGCAAAGTATGAGAAGGTAATAAATGCAGGCTTCAATAAATTCACCTTGTTCTGGGTGTACTTAGAAGTATTTGGCTATTCTGCTGTGTTTAGTTTCTGTACTTTCTGAAGGTGACAGTGCAGTGATCTCTACCAATATAATATTGAAGCTCTTAGCTACATTCAGAATGTAGAAAATTTTCTAAGAAATAATAAAACAGATTTTTATTTCTCGAACTTATGTCATATTTGTACTTCCATTTTTCGCTATATTGTTTTCACTTTCCACTATGTCAGGTTTCTTGGTCATTCACAACGCAAGGAACCTTGGGCAGCAAGTTTAATTACGGTTTCGGTGAGGTTGGGAGAATTTTAGGAGGGAAATAGGAAACAGGAGGGAAGAGAGAATTAGGCAGAAGGAATGGACAGAGAGAATGTTGGGGGTAGAAAATGATTTCATTAATCTGCAAGCGTGGTTCTTACAGCCTACCAGTTAAATACTCACCAAAATTGGCAGCTAGTGTGCACCCTAGCAGCAATACAGGATTCCGACAGTACTGTGCACCCTAGCAGGAAGATTACTTATGCTGACGATACTATTTCTTGGAACGGAAATTAAAAAAGAATCCCTATTGATACCCTCTTTCTATTTTTCTTTGTTTCTCCAGCTAGGTCGTGACACACTACTGTATATATTTTCATGTATAAATATGTGTATCGAAAGGGAATCTAAAAATTGTCTTCCTGAATAAAAAACAACCTTAATTTCCAAACCAAAAGTCAGGAAAAAGGATTCAGCTTAGTAACAAGTAGAAAGGAAGTTAAATTCTAATTAGAATAGGATATAATAAAAACTTTGATCTCAGGGTTTTTTTTTTCTCCCTCTGCAAAATGATATCTACTGGGGGTACGAGTTATGCAATGACAGGTAAGCCTTTATCATCACTTATCCCTCCCAATGTCAAGTACGAGCAGATCGACTTCTCAGTCCCTGTCGATCACAAATGCTTTTATGAATTAACCTAGTTGGCACCACAACTTAAAATAGTATGGATAATAATAAACAAAGAGTTTTTTTTTTTCTATTCTTTTTGCTTCTTTCTGGGCTAACACACATGGGCATTTTAAAGACTATCCTTTGCCTATCTTGCTTAGAGATTCTTCGTCTATCCTTGATTGAGTGATGTTGGTTCTCACCGTATTTATGTCTTTTGTGTTTTTCTCTCTTTTCCTTTTGGGAGGATATCAAGTCTTCCAATGCTGCATTTCTCTTTCTTTGTTTAATTACATATATATATATATATATAATCTATAAAAAGATGTAAAAGAGATTTTTAGGTTGCACAAATTAATTGCTAGATATAACTTAATACTATTATCCTTCAAATTTAGTTTCTTTGGTCTTTCCTTAATTTGAAATCTTATTTCATTATGGCCTTGATTAAGCTTCCAACTTTTTTTACCATTAGAATTTGGTGCAACATGATTCTGTGATTTTATTTAGAAAAAAGTCGTCTATTAAGTTTTAAATATTCTCATAAAGTGCACTTTGTTGACTGTAACAGGTTCTTCGGGAATTTAATCATGTTAATCCACAAGATGATGAGGAAGGCAAAGTGTTTGTAAACACTAGAGTAAGTGTTACTTCTCTCAGTTCTCTCCTTTCTAGAGGGTAACTAAATCCACTTGCAGCTGGATCAGTGTTTTTTTTTTCTCTACGATATAAATGTTGAAGCATAAAAATAAGTGAGCTGGAAGTATGTGTTCTATTTTGGTTGATTCTCTTCTCGCTTTTGAATTGTTCAAGAATCTTTTGAATCTAAATGTGGCGGCTTGCTTTCTTAAACTGGGAGAATGCAGGAAGTCCATTGAAGCATGCAACAAGGTATTCTATATCGAGTATTTTGTCCAAAAAGTTTATTATGATTGCTGTTGCATTCAGATGTCCCAGGTAGATATCCCTGGATCCAGTTACAGTTTGGAGTTTGCATACTGAGAATTCATGTGGGAATATGCAGGTTTTAGATGCAAACCCTGCCCATGGCAAAGCTCTTTATCGCCGTGGAATGGCCTACATGGCGGCTGGAGATTTTGAAGAAGCAAAAAATGATTTCAACATGGTAAGCACGAGTCGTCAATCTTGATTTGCTGAATGTTTTTACATTTGATCCTCAAATTTTATTTACAAGATCACCTCCGGATGTGTTATTAGATGATCAAAGCCGATAAGTCAACTGAATCTGATGCTAAAGCTGCTCTTCTGAAATTAAAGCAGAAGGAGCAGGTGAGTTGAGCAGCTAATTGACAATTTACTGATCACAGGAATGGAAACATTTTAGCCTTTATATCATCCTGTAGCTCACCATTTTGTGTGCAGGAAGTTGAGAGGAGGGCTCGGAAACAATTTAAGGGATTATTTGACAAGAAACCTGGGGAAATTGCTGATATTGTGACAGATGATGGAAAAGAAGACGAGATCGTGGAAGGAAATCTGAAGAATAACAACGGTGAGGCGGAAGACCCATGTGAAGATAAGGTAGTAGAAGAACTGCTTGAAAGGTGCAGTTGTTGCTCCTAGAAAGGGCTGGCTGTCCCGCATGTGGCCTGCAATTCGAAGAATATTTGTCAGTATGGGGCTTCAGATTGGGTTTGTTATGGTCTCAGCTTTGATTTTCCGTCTCTTTATCAACAAGCGTGATTAAATTATGGTGGACTGATGAAATAATGAAGGGTAGACAATTTTTTGTCTTGAGAAAATAATGAAATTAGGAAACAATTGTTTGTGACTGGAAGATGATTTTGTTGTCCTTCGGAGATATAACTGTATAATTGATGAATGATGAAATGTATTGACATGGAAAACTGTATCTATTAATGAAGAGTTCAGAATTTGAATCACTATGGTAGAGAGATGTTTTGGAGCTCTTTGTAATTTTAACCAATGGAGTATTTATATATATATATATATAATCACAACATCGTGGATGATACTTTTCCTTGAAACATGACTTGTATCAGATCCTTCCAATAAATGTATTCTTTTTAGTATCCTGGGGAGCACAGAAAGATTTAACTATTCTGCATTTAGCTGGCAAAACAAGTTTTTCTCTAAAAGCAAGTGTTTTATATTAGTTTCCTGGAGTAGCAAGAAAAGATTATCTAGCAATCTGACTTCTTAACCGAGGAAAGAGAAACACTACTAAAGTAAAAACTCCCTATTCATATGTATACAAGAATCCCAGACTTGTAAATAAAACAAAAGAGCTACATCTCAGAACAGAATCAGACACAGAGAAAGAACACAGACGTTTTCTTTTACTTATAAATCAAAGTTTAGAGATCTGGTTGGCCTTGGCTGCGAGGTCCCTGTATCTGATCAGAAAATAGGCAATGGCATGGCCAGCGACGGCGACAATGAAAATGCCCAGATTGTAAGACATGACAGAAAGCATAACAAGATAGGCAAAGGCCATACGAATAGCATAAACAATAGCCTGAACAAAAGCAGCAAGTATTGGACTGGTGCCAGTTTTGAGCAGAGGCAATAGAGACAATATCTCTACACCGAAGCTGAGGACGAAAACAACAAAGAGAGCCAAAATGTACATGCCCAGATGGGTGTCTGGCCAGCCAGAGAAAAAGATGGTCACTTCTTTGCCCCAGTAGAAGCTCATGTGCATGCTCATCCCCTCCACTGACTTCATCTCATCACCATTCATCGACCCTGGTTTCATCATGGACATATTTCAGAAAGAGAAGGAAATGATGATGATGACAAAATAGAATGTGTAAACTGATCTTTTGCCTCAAGTGTATCGAATTTATAAAATAGATGACTAGGAAACGACAGACGAATTAAAGTTAAGGCGTTGGAAAATGCGAAGGATGAAACAAAGTTGCCAGCTTTTTCTGTCTGTTTTCATTTATCTTTTTGTACTCCACAGTGATCAAAGCCTGAAAGTTTAAAACTATAAATAGCAATTAACTTATTGATTCAGCAACAACAGTTGTATTGACTCTCCCACATCTACTCGGCACAAACGGTACGCTAATGTCGACTACTAAAACGAATTAAGATGTTGGAGTCATCCTTATTTTATACGAGGAATTTATATAAAAATTAAAAATAAAAAAGATGTATACAATTGGAGTCTACCAATGTCAGAAGATCATTTGCTCCAAGTCCATTTTCAATAACAATAGTTATATTGCTTAGGGATGACCAGTGAATAACCTGCCTCCATCCATCCTCTTCAAAGCCAGTAATTTTGAAGTGTTTTAGAACGGGTAAGGATGTGAAAAGTTCATATCTGTAATAAGCTTGGAGTAGATGTAGATAAAGCTTCTGCTTTAAGACGCCCCATCTATACATTGTTTTAAAAGTTAATTTTGTGTATCTATATGTTAGGATTTAAAAGTCAATTTAAACGTTACTATTAAGTTTACAATTCTGAATTTATGTCAGTTTATATTGTTCCTATTAATTTAGCTTATTTACCATATTTATTAAATATTAGATAATTTGTTTTTAATATCTTTAAATAGTTCAAGTAAAACATGGTAATTAACGAATATAAAAAATTATATACAAAATAGAGATACGTAAAAGAAAATACTCACTCCAAACACACGGCTAATACAAATACAAGTTTTATTAAACATGATGAATATAGGGTGTGAATGTTCATCTTACATCCATTTGGCGATCATCATTGATATTACCCCCCCTTAAATAAATTGATGATCCCATCATTACAAGTGAAGAAAAAAACCCTAAGAGAGGAGAACATCAAACAAGAAAAGAAAGTTAGAAAATGAGAAAAAGGGGACACCTACCCCTCGTAAACACATGACATAATGCTCATGTTAGAGAATTACTCGAAGTCTAAAAGATATTCGAACATTAATGATAAAATTGAATATTACCAATGCAAGATAACATCATTATAGTGAAGAAATCATAACCCTAAGAACAAAATTAGGAGATTATGTAGGAGAGTAAAGACCATGTAGTTATTTAAACTAATGAGAGGTATTAAATCAATGAAGTTCCAATATTGAGCACATGATAGAAGTCCAACATAGTTTAAGAAAGTGTATTAAAAGTCAAGCATATAAGATGTTCAACAATGTTAAGCATCTAGGATACATGATTTCAATTTACATACTAATGTTTTAAGTGCAAAAAATATTACTATAGTATTAAGCATGTGAAAGAAGTCTAACATAGACTAGAGGAAAGTATTGAAGACTAAATGCAAGATATGCTCATCAACATTGAGTGATGCGGAACCCGATGATCAAAGATTATATTCAGAACTTCACATATATATTTAGCATAGATAACTTAGAACCCTAAACAAATCCTCCCTACCAAACCCACAACTAACCTATAATTGAGAACTTAAGTGATTGGGATGAAAGAAGCAATAATGAATAAACGCCATAAGATAATTTGATAAATTAGTTCAATTCTTGATGCAACAAGAAGAATAAGAATTCTCACTTGTCAAAATTCTACTAGAGATAATAAAATTTATTCAATAATAGAAGTGTCATATTACATTGCAAAAAAAAAAAAGATATTTATAGGCTAAAATACCTAGATTTTGTCAAAGAATCATAATTAGATGATCTAGAAAATATGAACATAATTTAAATAACTTAGGAAAACATAGCATTAAATGACTTAAGAAAATATGGTATTAAATGACCTAAAGAAATATAATATTAAATGACTTGGAAAAACATGAACATAATTTAATTATCTAGGAAATGACCAAAATGATCCTAAACATTCATTTTAAATTCTGACCACACACTTAGACAAATTTAATGATCTTTTTTGGCTTCTTTGATTTTTTAAATAGTTCTCATGTGCTAAGTTCTTGTTGTATCCATCTTTATATAAAGTCTTGAAATGTATGTTTTAGCTTATTGACTTGAAATCTTGTGATTGGACCAGCTGACATTATAATATCTTCTTCATGCTTCTCTTTAATGTCTTTTGAACCCATGTTTGCATCATTCCCTCCTTCAAAAGAATTCGTTCTTGAATCTGCATTCATATCAAATGAAGAAAGATCAGAAATATTAAAAGTAGCAGACTTAGAATACTCATCAGGGAGATCAACCGATAAGCATTATCATTGATTTTCTTCAACACTTGAAATGGTCCATCGCCTTTCAAATCCAACTTTGACTTCCTCTGTTTTGGAAACCTTTTCTTGCACATATGTACCTGAACCCAATCGCTAGGTTCAAGTATAACTTGTTGAGCATAAACTTGGTTCTTCTTTTTAATTTGTTGACACATTTTTTCATGAATAGCTTTAACCATTTCAGCCTTCTTCTTACCATCTAAACTAGAAATTTCATTGAAAGGTAATGGCATTAAATCCAAAACAGTTAATGGATTAAAACCATATACAATTTCAAAAGGTGAAGAACCTGTAGAAGAATGACAAATAATCTTCTCAAGTTTTTAAATTTTTACAAATAACAGCACGCAACAAAGTTCATAAAGTTCGATTGACAACTTCAGTTTGACCATTAATTTGTGAATGACAAGTAGTAGAATACAAAGTTTAGTTCCTAACTTACCTGCATAAATTTTTCAAAAAATCA